ATTCTGCCAGTTTTGAACATGAATAACATAAGAGAACGTTATCTTAAACTCAAAATGTTTATATTTCTCTCAAGCTTAGGACAATGGCATTTTAAAAAACTCAAAGAAATACTTATAAAAATGTAAATAAAGAAATTGTAGCCTGACAAAAAAGTTAAAAATCAAGGCATTTCACACAAAAAAAGTAACATATTGGCCCCGAGCCCATTTTGTGAGCTTCACAGTATAAGAATGAAGCATCATACAGAGTTCGTCCTTTATGGACCATCACCCCTGAACACATAGATGAAGCACAATTTTTTTCAGACATGACAGAAGTACAGAATTAATAATAATCCACGTTCAAATTGGTGAAAATGAAAAAAAACACGAGTTGACGAAAAATTGCAGTTTTCGGACATTTTCTTAGTATTCAAAAGACCATAACTTTTTATCTAATGAAGCTATAATAACAAATCTTACGTCAAAATCTTCAGCATTTCAAGACCTATGCAATGCAGTTAAAAACATTGCTATCAAGGAATGGCTACACGCTTTTTTGGTTAAGCAAAGCGGACATATAAGACGATATTCATGAAAAAATATGAGTATCAAACGACTCAGGAATAGTTGTCTTGAACTATTCTATCAAAGATCTAGTCTGAACTAGTCAATAACATTTGTATCTTTATAAATACAAATAATACAATGCAATATATGCCCTTATTTTAGCATATCATAGCTGACAAAAAACAAAAAATGTGAGGGGGGGCTCTCGTTGTCTAGAGGTTAAGGTGTTGGCCTCTCATTCAAAGGTCCCGGGTTCGAATCCGGGTAGCGAGCGAACAATTTTCTTCTCTAAAATTGTCTCCTTTCACCTCCTTTCCTGCTCTCTAGCAATGTTCTGTTGTCTGATTTCGTTTCCACTTTCTGCCCCCACCCCCTCACCTCCTTTGCCCCCTCCTCTGGGCTCCTGACTCTTTCTGCTACTCCTTGGCTCCTCCTAACTAACTCAACTAACTGCAGTCTTACTGCCACACCCCTGATCTTCTGGTAGGAAAGATGTACACCTAGCCTTCTCGGACAAAGGCGAAATATCTCGGAGGGCCTGTGTGCAAGTTGCGCACGTTAAAGATCCCTTGGTGGTCTAAAATCGATAAGAGCAGGCTTCGGCCACCACCCGGGCAAAATTCAAAATTTCCTACCAACTGAAAATATTAGGTGTGTCCTGCGCGCTCATATGACCTTATGCAGTTGCAAGCGCTGCAAAAACACTTACCAAAAAAAAAAGAAATGTGAGGTACATTATATAATATAAATCAATGTCAGGATTTTTTTCTCGGGGGTGGGACTGCCTCATCATACCCCAAACTGATAATGAGGGTTTTGTATCTATAGTTGAGCATAACCACCCACAAGGGATAACTGCTTCTCTTGCATTACTATTTTCCTGTATCTGATTTGAGATTTTAACATTTCAACTCTATTTCCCCCCTCTTGCAACATCCTATCCACATCATCTTTTGTGACACACACCCCACCAAGACCAATGACAGCATTGACAACAGACAAGTGTTTCTCTCTCTCTTTAACTTCTTTAGCCTCTTTTTTTCTTTCATTTTCACGTAGCCGTTCCATGATGACCCTCCTAACTTCTCTCTCCTGGTCTCTACTGCGCTTCTTTAATTTTGGACCATACTTCCTTTCCAGGGTTAACAAATAAATTGCCTCCTGCTTTTTCTTATGCAACAGCCATTTTCCTGTGCCATTGTGTTTCCACATGTTGAATGAGGAACGCAAATGTAAGGATGCATTTCTTCTCTCGGATATGTCATAATCTAAATCCCCAAAGAGCCTCTCTCCTGTCAGGTTTGATAATGGTGCAGTCATCAAAATACTTTTGACATCTTCATCCAACTCCCCAGCGAAAACACCATCCCCAATAAAGTCAGAGACCTGACGTTTCAGCACATCGAGAGTGTTTGAATGTAACCTGTTGTAAACATTCTTAAAAGTTTCCCTAGACTCATGACAAATACTAGAAATAGGATGTGAATCAGGAGACACAAAATCAGGGAAAACACTGGTACTAGGCTTTGTGGTGAGGAACTCTTCCATGAGTTTAACATATGGTGGAAACTCCCCATATGAAACTTTACTGTTCAATAGTGACCAGTATGGGGATGTGAAGAGGGTGTTGAACTTATCCAAAGCAGAAACCATAGCCATGATATTGTCATCTTTAATGTCTTCTAAAATACTTAAAAGCTTCAAATTTTCATGAGAGACTGACTTTGTCAAAAAATCAATGATATGCTCTCTGTGGAATAGCAGTGCAGATGAATTGTCAAAGACATTATTAAATCTGTTGTTTCTGTAGCTGGTAAATTTTGACTTAATCTTGATGGATTCAAGACAGACTAGCCACTCATTTCGACAACCATTCTTCTCATCCCCACGCGGGCCAAAAACATCAGCAGCAGCTCTAACAACTCTGAGTGCTGGGGTTTCAGTGGAATTTGCAAGTCTTGAAAATCTGTCTGAAGCATCCCTACCCAGTTTGATATCGCTGTTTGCAAACTCTTTAGATATCTCTTTCAAGACCTCCTCTGCAGTAAGACTGACACCTAACAAAAAATGAGCATTACAAAACAGAAAGTGAGTACTGCAATCTGTCCCCAAAACCTCTTTTTTATAATTAGCCAATTTCTTGTCAAAGAGTTTCATGACAGAAGCTCTGTCACTCATTAGACATTTCATCTTGCTCAAAATTTCTTTGAACAGACTGTCACGCAAAACAGTTTCATTTTGTGAGCAATAAACATCACACAGCTCATTGATTAAACAAATAGACTTTTCTAATAAAGTATCAGCTGTTTCTGATGCCACCTCTTGAAACCCAAGACTCATCATACCGCTGTTTGACAAAACAATGTGGCGCTCTAAATATCTTCTCTTTTGCCGTGATGTCTCATCTGTGGCGAAAGTAAAATGTTCGTTTGCTCTAATCTCTTCAACAACCTGACTTCTGGATAGAAAATTGCCCTCATTAGACATGTTAAGAGCAGACTGCTTGCAGGGGAGATCTTTTTGAGACAATTCAGTATCAAATAAATGTTTAGCAATAATTTTTACGACTGTTGAACATTTTGATGCTGCAACATAAGCTTCACCTTGCAAGGCCATATATGTCACACGGACAGCATCGGAGTAGGTATTATTTTTATTCCCTTCATTTTTCAACTGTACCGGTACATGATAACCTCCCTCTTTCTTTCCCTCATCTTCAAGAATAGCCTCAGCAGTTTCAAGAGCATCACTAAGTTGACTTTTAATATTTTTATAAAAAGACTTCATGTTCTGTTCTGATTTTATTTGTTTTTTTAGTTTTTGTACTAAAGCCTCACACTCTTTAAAAGACTTTTTTATGTCATCTAGACATTTACATTTTTCTTCAAGATCTTTTTTAAGAGAACATATTAATTTTTGACTTTGTTTTAACTCCTCCTCCATTTGTCTGGATGCTGCCAAACCGTTCTGAACATCAGATACTTTAATACCTTTTGATTGTATCATTTTTCTTTGAGCAATTTTTTCTCTTAACTGTTCTCTCTCATTCGTAAGAATTTTATTCTCTTCCCTCAACCTGTCTCTATCTTCTTTGAGAAGTTTACTTTCTAAAGCTAATATTTCTTTTTCAGTCTTGTTCTTTTCTAAAGTGTCTTGATTCTTTAGCCCTTGCTTTTTTTCTAAATCGAGATCAGTTCTCAAACGTTTTATTTCTGCTTCAGCACATTTAATTCTAGGACAGACATTTCCTTCTAGGACCTGAGGAAGCACATTTGTTGTGGCAAAGACTGGTTCACGCAAAATTGACTGCAATTCTTCACCACTACATTTGGCTCGGTCTCTTTTTGCCTTCTTAACAGCATTTATTATTTTGGCCTTTGTCACAGACAGTGAAGATGGTTTTAAGAAACATTGAATCCATCTAACAACAAATGAGTCCGTCAAACGTTTTTGACATCTAATACTTTCCAAAGCCAGCAAGACTGACTTAGTTGGGAAATACCCAGAAGGGGGAAAGAACTGGGACTCATCTCCCTAAATAGATTGCATGGAGAGTCCAAGACTTTGTAGCTCTGCTGGAATTGAGTTGAAGTCCTCCTCCATAGTTAAAAAACCTGCCATGTCTTCCTGGTTGATGACTGTCATCTTCTTCCAGGTGGCTTCAATCTTGTGTTGCAGTTGCCCTTCAGTCACAATCTGATCAGGAAATAACTCCAAGAACCAGGATAGAACCTGTGGAAGAAACCATATTCTATTCTTTAGAGTTTGCTGTGATAATAATAATATTAAGTACTAGTAGGCCTACTTCATATAAAATTGGACCGCAGCATTTTACTTTTTTGCACACAAGTTCACATCAGAATTGGGCAGAAGCTCCCGCGGCCCGAAGGCATTTTATTTTTTGGTACACAAGTTCACATCAGAATTGGGCAGAAGCTCCTGTGGCCCGAAGGCATTTTATTATTTAGTAGGCTACACAAGTTCACATCAGAATTGGGTAGAAGCTACCGCGGCCCGAAGGCACCACACAGAAAATTACGCAGTTCCTCCCGACCCACTAAAAAAGAAGGTGGGGGGGGGGGTTAATGATCTACTTACATGGCCCCATGTTGATTGTCCTTCTTCTCTGATTAAGAACAGCTGAGCCAGAACTTGGTTTGTCAAACACACAGAGGGTAGATTAGGGCGTCATCCTTTCCCACTCATCAGAAAGCGGCTCGCTCTTCATTGCAGCATATTGATCACCTGTTGATTGAAATGTCAAGATATTTTGTAAGATAGGCTTAGGAGTAGGTGATTTAACAATATTAACATACAGAGATCTAGGGGTGCTTCTAAAACATAAATGAACAGCAGGTTAAGATTGTTGTTTGTTATGTTTCTACTCTCAACAGGAAAACCCTATGAAAACAGCCAATCGTCATGTCCACTTTAATTATACGAAGTGTATACAGACCCGGTAACCGGGAACAAAGTCACGATGTATACAGACCCGGTAGGGGACTCTTTTGTGATTTCGGGAAGTTTCAGCGCCCAGACCCGGTCACAGAATTCTATACTAATGCATGAATGATAGGCTCATTTAGATGTAATAATGAAGAAACTTGTGTCTACAGTCACAACATAAAGAGTTCCATGGCGAGTGATCACTGGTCAAGGATTTCAGAGCTGTGTGCATTTTGAGAAAAATGTATCCCCATTCCCTGGATCACATGTCGAGGGGATGGGCTTGTCCCCCTGTAATCCCCGCACACAGTAAACAAACACATATATTTTTTAACACGAATAAGAAAAAATAAGTGGTCTCTTGTTACGGATCAAATTGAAGTCATGTTTCAATTCGATTAATTGATAAAAGTGCGTATCGCAATGCGTTGGCTACCCCTGCCCTATAGGACTATGCTATTTAATAAATGCATTCGTCAGACCTGGAATCTTTAATGCTGGCACACAGTAAACAAACACACATTTTTTAACACGTATAAGAAAAAATAAGTGTTGTCTTGTTACGGATCAAATCGAAGTCCTGTTACAATTCAATTAATTGATAAAAGCGTGTATCGCAAAGCATCGGCTAACCCAGCACTATTACGCTATTTTATAAATACATTCGTCAGATCTGGAATCTTTAATCTTTAATTTTTAATGCCCGCACACAGTAAACAAACACACATTTTTGAACACGTATAAGAAAAAATAAGTGTTGTCTTGTTACGGATCAAATTGAAGTCCTGTTACAATTCAATTAATTGATAAAAGCGTGTATCGCAAGGCATCGGCTAACCCAGCACTATTACGCTATTTTATAAATACATTCGTCAGATCTGGAATATTTAATCTTTAATTTTTAATCCCGGCACACAGTAAACAAACACATATTTTTGAACACGTATAAGAAAAAATAAGTGTTGTCTTGTTACGGATCAAATTGAAGTCCTGTTACAATTCAATTAATTGATAAAAGCGTGTATCGCAAGGCATCGGCTAACCCAGCACTATTACGCTATTTTATAAATACATTCATCAGATCTGGAATATTTAATCTTTAATTTTTAATCCCCGCACACACTAAACAAACACATATTTTTGAACACGTATAAGAAAAAATAAGTGTTGTCTTGTTACGGATCAAATCGAAGTCCTGTTACAATTCAATTAATTGATAAAAGCGTGTATCGCAAGGCATCGGCTAACCCAGCACTATTACGTTATTTTATAAATACATTCGTCAGATCTGGAATATTTAATCTTTAATTTTTAATCCCCGCACACAGTAAACAAACACATATTTTTGAACACGTATAAGAAAAAATAAGTGTTGTCTTGTTACGGATCAAATCGAAGTCCTGTTACAATTCAATTAATTGATAAAAGCGTGTATCGCAAGGCATCGGCTAACCCAGCACTATTACGCTATTTTATAAATACATTCATCAGATCTGGAATCTTTAATCTTTAATTTTTAATCCCCGCACACAATAAACAAACACACGTATAAAAAAATAAGTGGTCTCTTGTTACGGATCAAATTGAAGTCTAGTTACAATTCAATAATTGATAATAGCGCGCATTGCAATGCATTGGCTAACTCAGCATTATACGCTATTTAATAATACATTCGTCAGATTTGGAATCTTAAATTATAATCATAATTATATGAGCCCACGCGTGGAAAGTGAAAGTGAAAGGAATTGAAAATGCTTTCAAAAACAATTATGAAAGTAACATAATTAAAGTTGGACTACATGTGCTTATAAAGGCCCAAAAAGGTGTATGGATGCGGAAATTAATGTTTCGGATGAAAATAATACACTATCTCTACTACTACTACTGTAGCATGCGGTCAAAAATTTGATGCGCAACTTATTATCAAATATCTAGGCTACTGAACTATCGAACACCTAGATCTAGATTCTCCTACTTTTACACAATGACTTAGATCTATATCAATTCGTCTTAACCGATGAGTATTTTTTTCAAACATTTGTACACATCTATAGGTTCTATATTATTCTAGAAATTTCTTTAAAGAAAATTCTTTAATAAATACTAGCCAAATATTTCAACAACAAAAACCCAGTCAATGGTTTCTACAGATTTTTAAAAGGTTTTTAGCTGGAGCTAAATCTTTTAAAAGCAAGTCCGTCCTTTTTTCTACTTCTGCTGGCGACATAAAGTTAATTATTGAACGCATGTTTTGAGAACATTAATTAGATCTAGATCTAGTGAAAAAATATGTTCAGTGTAAAACAAATTTCTTGTAACAAGTTGTGCTACTAAAAAATTACGTAGGCCATATATGCGTATGCAAAATGTGTGTGGGAAGCTAGAGGTGCTGTGAACAATCCCATCCGTGTTACGATTTTTTTCACAGTTCTGTAGATCTTATATTTATAAACTCTCTATGTCTGCTGTTTCTCTTGTTGCACCCAAAAACACAACAATGTAAAACCTTAATTCCAATCTCTAGTTGCACAGTGAATTCTGTAAATCAAAATTACAAACTGGACAGTAAATGTTCCACTTTTCACTCGTTTGTAAAAGCCGCTCCTGCTTTAAAAGCACTATAGGGTTACTTCCGAAAACGATAAATCGTGCCCTCAAGACGCCATTGTTTTCAGTCTTCAATTCCTCACAGGTCACGTGGTACAGTTCCCGTTCTATTAGTGTAGAATTCTGTGGACCTGGTAGAAATCTAGAGAGTGTGTGCGTGAGTGTGTGTGTGTGTGTGTGTGTGTGTGTGTGTGTGAGAGAGAGAGAGACAGAGAGAGACAGAGAGAGAGAGAGAGAGAGAGAGAGAGAGAGAGAGAGAGAGAGGTGCTAGCAAAATGTGACATGCCCCAGTTGGCAGGAGGGAACGAGAGAAAGATAGAGTGGGAAATAGGTGGGGACAAAGAAATACAGAGACAAACAAAGAAAAAGAGAAGGCGAGCGATACAGAGAGAGAGAGAGGGGGGGGGGGCAGAGAAATAGAGAGGGTGACTGCTCGATTGAAATTATGACATTGTTCTTTACTTCAAATCGTGATTCCTCCAACTCCAAAACGGAGGAAAAACGATCGTTCATCGAAAAGACATCCGCAATCTTCATTTAGATCTAGATCTAGGCTAGCCGCGAAACTAGATCAAAGATTTATGTCTGCCTAGATCTAGATCTAGACCATAGATCTAGAAGAACCTAGGTCTACCCTGAGCCAAGAGGGCGCTGAAACTCTTCGAAATCACAAAAGAGTTCCCCTACCGGGTCTGTATAGGCCACAGAATAAGTGTAGAATTCTGTGGTATAGGCCTACTTTGTGACTTTGTTCCCGGTTACCGGGTCTGTATACACTCCCTTAATTATAAGGTTATCATCGCTAAAAAATACCACACCAGAGGCCAAGTCATTTTGCTTCTGTTTTGCTTATTCTTCATGTCCAAGCACATTGACATTTTGCAGAGTGGTTAAAAATATAATCCTTGATACCAATTATTACACAGAAAAAACAATTCAACTTCATAAAAAAATTATTCCATCACGTCAGGATGAAAACAAACTCTGGTTTCACCGTCACCGTCAGACTACATGATGGAATAGCACTTCAACCTTCTCGGCATCTATTTTCTTAAAAAATAACACATTAATTCAAGTACAAACACTTCTTTATGATAAATACTTACATGTTTTTATCATATGAGTCCAGTTTTAATCAGAAGCAGCTAGCGATGTCTCGTTTTGTATTTCACCCGAATCCTGACCGAAACTCGCTCCGGCTGGTGGAACAGCGGGATTTTCCATTTTGCCTCGGCTGCGTCCAGCCAAAGTGGCTTTATGTAGTCTTCAACTTGATCGTCTCAGTCCATCCTGGTGTGTTCTATTACGTTTTAAACATAACACATTTGTAGATAAAAGGGTGCTGCATATGAATGTGGAGCGTTTTTTTCGAAAAAAGTCAAAAATCCGAGATAAATCACACTTTCAAAACTTTACACGAACATTCGTAAGGGTTCCTCATGGTGAATGGAGAAAAAGGTTGCATCTGGAAGTAGAGCAGCTTTTCCAGATTTTTATGGTCGAAACAGCAAAGAAATCCGATGTTTCAGGTCCGAGGTATCGATGATTAGAAAATATCTATGGGCGAAAACATAGAGAACGCCGATTTCAGAGACTGACTCAGTAAGCGCCCATAGGTATAAAAATTCCTTTATGTTTTCCAACTTGCCCCACATACAGCTGTCTGACTGCTAGAGGTGTGCGAGTAACGAGTCCAGACTCGAGTACTCGAGTAATACATGCGGCGAGTCCAGACTCGAGTCACAAGTAAATTACTCGAGTAAGGACTCGAGTCCAGACTCGAGTCTGTAGGGGGAAACAGAAAAAAAGTATAAAAATTTGGTTTTTAAAAAAGTTAAGAATAGATAA